GTCCACCATTTTGTCATCTGATGTGATTTTCCTATGTGTTGTAAATCCTATCTCTATGATGTTGATGAGATGGGATTAGCAGCAGTTATGTTAATGAGGCAGGACTCAATCTACAAGATTGGATTGTGTCTTGAGCCAATCTCTTTTGAGATATAAAAGAGAGAAGCGAGCAGAGAGACATGGGGACTTCATACCACCAAGAAAACAGCACCAGGAGCAAAGCACATCCTTTGGACCCAGGGTCCCTGTGCCTCAGAAGCTCCTCGACCAGCGGAAGATTGATGACAAGGACCTTCCTCCAGAGTCGATAGAGAGAGAAAGCCTTCCCCTGGAGCTGACGCCCTGAAATTGGATTTGTAGCCTACTAGATGGTGAGAGAATAAATTTCTCTTTGTTAAAGCCATCTACTTGTGATATTTCTGTTATAGCAGCACTAGATAACTAAGACAAACCCTATGAGGTCGGACTATATTTATCTCCTTTTTTACAGATGAAGAAACTGAGGCTTGCAGAGGTTAAGCTCTTTGTCCAAAGTCACAGAGGTAATAAATGGTGGAGCTGGGATTTTAACCTATTTGTGACTGACTCCAGACAGTAGTAATGACCTAGAAGGGGGAGGAAGAAGAGAGAAAGAGAGGGGAAAGGAAAAGGAGAAGGAAGAAGAGGAGGGAAGGAAGCAATTATTGAGCACCTACTATATGCCAGGTACTGGGCTAGCTGCTGTCACACATCATGTTGGGAGATCCTGTTAATCTGGCTGCTACAGTCAAGAACTCTGGGAGGCTTCAGCTGTGTATCAGCCACCAAACACAGACCAGGCTGGCCAGGTCTGAAGCTTCTTCCCAAATTTTGCCTTTGCCAAGGAAAGTCAAGGGCCAGAATTTTTTCCAAGCAATGTCCTTAATAGTCCATCTTTCTGTCCATTAAGAGAACCATAGGCTATTGCAGGGATTCCTGCCTGCAGGATTACTGTATTTATACCAACTCATAATTATCCATTCTTTTCTCTAAGAAACAGTCATTACACCCCAGAACTGCACAGAACCCTCTTCCCCTAATGCCTGGTGGGTGTTAAGAGAGAAGAAGGCATTTCATTCTCAGTCTGAGCCAAAGTACTTAGAAAGGCCAATCTGTGGGGAAGCAAGTTCATCACGCATCCTAAGGCCACATGGCAGATAATCTGCCATTCTGGGTCATCCCTGTACCACCTTTTCCTTCAGAATACAGCTAAGTGAGCATTCATCATATGCTGAAAAACAATCCCACTTCTTGTGTGTTCTTAACTCTCACACACTGTCCCTGAGACTAAGCTGTATGCCCCTTACCCTTCCACTAGGGCCTCATCAATGGAGCAGGAGCCATCTTGGTTGAAACCCACCCTTTGAAGTCCTGCAGCGTGATCGTGTCTCCCAGCAGGTCCAAGAACTCCTTGAAAGCCGGGCTCTCTTCATTGTTCCCAAACAGCTCCTCCTCCAGGGTCTGAAAGAGACATAGGAACAGGG